ATAAGACCAGTATTTTTAGTTTAACCTTGAAAGGAAATCTAACTGTATTTAAAGGTCACAAGCAGAGAATGTTACCGAAGACAAAGGTTCTGGTGGGTTGGAAGGGGAGCAATCACTTGCAGCACCACACTCTAGTACACCAAAAGGAATTTTCTTAGTAAATCTCCACTACAGTTATTGTTGAATTGAATTGAAACTTTGAAAGTATTTTTTATTTTCCTTTTCTTTTTTTAAGCATTGATAAAAAGTCTAGCATGAATTAAAATAACTTGGATTTTTTTTCATAAAGATAATGTACCTAAATCCATTCCACCTGAATGTCTTGGAGTTAAATCAATGTTAACTGTTCCTTCTTATTAAGATGTTTTCTCAAGAGTCTCAAATTGGTCAAATAATGAAATACTCCTTTCAATTCAAATCATCCCAGACCATACCACATGGTATCTAGTAGCTTAAGGACTAGGCACAATTATCCTGTCCATGTGAGGTTTTATAAAATAGAGATTTCCTATGTTTATTCTTCAGCTCTGCAAATATAACGAATTTATCATCTTGTTCTATCTTCTAACTGGGAGAATATTCCAAAGAGAATATCCCATTTACCTTCAACTTTTGAAATCTCCTGTTTAGAGCTGATATAGTTCCCTGCTTTAGTCTAAGGGTTGAAAATAGAGGACCCTTGTCCTTGAAGTGGATAAGTGCAGTTTGTTAAACTGATTAAAAAAGGTAGAGTTCAGCCTGGCCAGTCTGGCTCAGTGGTTGACTGTTGACCTATGAACCTAGAGGTCATGGTTCAATTCCCGGTCAGGGCACATGCCCGGGTTGCTCAATCCCCACTAGGGGGTGTGCAGGAGGAAGCCATTCAATAATTGTCTCTCATCATTTTTGTTTCTATCTCTCTCTCCCTCTCCCTTCCTCTCTGAAATCAATGAAAATATACTTTTCAAAAAGTAGAGTTCAGAGAGGCTACCATATGTGGACCTAAGATAAATAGTATTAATATTTCAGGTAATTATAATTCATTGAGTTTCATTATTTCCTCTCTACATTTGACAAGAGCTGTATTAGGGATGTTATTTCCATATTCAGAGAGCATAACCCTGGGTGAGGCCCGGCAGGAAACATGGCCGGGAGGAAGCCGTAAACATCTATTCATGGGGACAGGGCTACCAGATACTCCTTGGTCCAGCAGCCCCATGACCGGTGAGATGCTGCCGCTAGGTCTTCTCAGGCAGCAGGAAAGATTCAAGGAAAGAGGACAAAACTGGCTGAAGTGTAAGTTGTACAAGGCCGAAGGAGATCAAAGCCTGTACTCGCTGCCTGTAGAGTGGGAAGCTGTACTGTCTACTAGAAGCTCAACAGTTTCAGTGGCTGAAACTGGACGGAACTGTTAGGAGTTGAAGGGAGATTAGGAACCACAGGGTGGAATTCCATTTCATGGATGAGGAAAATAAGGGCAAATGAGGTGATGTGATCTGTGCAAGAGCCACGTGGAGAACCCGACCTCAGGACACTTAACTACACGGACGAGAAAGCAGGAAGCCCATGTGGGAAGTAGTTGTGGCAAATGCTACACCTGAGAAATAAAAAGATTTTTAAAATCTACGCCTTGTCTCTACCTACGCAGAATACAGGTAGGTATATAGTGTCTACGTGAGAAGGGTCTTCTCAACTCCTTAGTTGTGTCTTCCAAACCCTCTGACAATACTCCTCCCTTCTGTGGTGTTTTCTTGTAGCCCCTACTGGCAGGTATCACCTTGAAATTCTTCCCATGGCTTTCTGGTTGATACCTTTTTGGTTAATTAAATTACCTGTAGTATAAATTTATCTCTAGTCCCAGCTCAACGTACTGGGCATGATGCTCATGTCTATTATTCCCAGCTCTGGTCTGGCTCTTACCTCCCATTTCCAACTACAGAACAGGCCATGTCTTCCTGGATGCCCTGGCATTTCTTGGCCAGAATGAACTCACTGCTGCTTCCAGACCTGTTGCTGTTTTAGCCAACTACTCTGCACCTGAAGTACTGTTTCTGATCTCACTGACCCGGTTCTGGACTTCAGTGGCTCAGACTACAGCAGTATCATTCTAGCTTTCCTGCTTTAAAAACCTTTCAGTGGTTTCCTATTACCCCCCAAATAAAGTCCAAACATCTTAACCTGGGCTTTAAGGTCATGGTCTTGTGTTGGGTAACAATTCAACCAATATTTATTGAGTACCAACTGGATGCCATGCACTATGCTAGATGCTGGAGACATGGCAGCTTAATAGGACACAACCCCTGCCCAAACGGAACTTTCCACTATAGGAGAGGCATGTAGCATAGCAAACAATTACATATATCAGTGTGTGTGTGTGTGTGTGTGTGTGTGTGTGCGCGCGTGTGCATCTGCATGTGCATTAGAGGCTGTGGCAGAATTAAGGAAAGCTCTGGGATAAAAGAGGAAGAGTACCTAACCCAGACTGACCTGAAGAGAGGTGGAGGAAAGGAAGGTTGGGATCAGGGAAGCAGGGATGGAAGAGAAAGCTTTCCTAGAGAAAGTAGCTGAATTTAAAATATGAAGAGGCAATAAGACCAGTGAGGGAGGGATAATGAGAATGATGAACAGTGCTTCACACACAGGATCCAGCTTATGTGGCCTTATCTCTGAACTTCTTCTCCACATAAACTGGTCTACACCTCCTCCATAACCTTTCCTTACCTCCCTTCCCCCACCCCCGTGAACCTTCCAAAGTCCATCTCCATTGTCATACCCTTGAGCTTCATCTGATCATCCAGCTAGAAATCACCTCTCCTAACCTTCAACTCCCTTAGCCTGTACTTCTGTACCAGTGGCACAGGACTGTTCAGGGAACACTCGTGCAATTGAATTCCTCCTGTCCCCACCCAACTGTGTCTATAACACCCCATGTCCGAACTAGTGAATCCGCCTTAGCTGGCCTTCCTGCCTCCTGCCTTTTCCATTCATCAGGTGGGCTTTCTCACTGTCACCCAAATATATTAACCTAATGCTGCTCTAATTACCCAGACTGTTCTCCTTCTCCCCTGGCCACTCAATTCCACCCACACTTCATGTGAAACAACTCCATTCATGCTTTCAGGAGACCCATCCTACCATATGCTCTCCCTTCTCCAGCATCCTTTGCCTTGAGGTTCAATGCAATCCTGCCTATCTACCTGGACAGCGGGACGCTGTCTGTCTTCCATATGGCCCATGCCGGCAAAGATCTGACAATATAACAAGGAACTACTGACAGGCTTTTCACATCTTTGCTTCCAGCTTTGAACAGAGATAACCTAGTTTCATCAGTCAGTTGAGAGGTCACTGGAGAGAAAAATAAATCAGCAACAAGAAGGAGCACCTGAGATAGGATGAGGGCGGAAACTGCAAAGGCTCAGGAAAGGAAGCTTGCCCGAGGTCTAAGTCAAATCAAGTCAAAACACATCACTGTGTTTTCCTTTGTCTTATGTAAATGGTTTCTCTGGAACATGAGAGAGTTAGAGTGCTTCTCCTCCAGAGAGGTAGCGTTGGCTCTTTAAGCATAATATCGGAGTTTCCTCTGGAACAGAGGAGGGAAGTATTTCTGCATTCAATGAAAAGAGACTACCTAGGTTCCTTTTATGTTAGTTTTATTTATATGGCTGTTTTATAGTTTTCTTATTCTGAAACCAAAAATCCATGATAAAAATCCATGGAAGGAGCCCTGCTGAGATAGCTAGACTTTGATTTGTGACAAAGTACTTCGGGTATGTTTGTATCCCTTATAAAACCTTAAAAAATGATTCGTTTTTCCAAGATTCAAGCCTTCGAGTTTCAATACCACGTATACTTCTGGGAGACACTTCCCCTTTGACATTCCCTTATATAAACAATCTGTTGAAATTGGGAAAAGCAGGGGAGATCCTGTTCTCTGTCCTTATCTCACCCCCTGGTATGGGGGACATTTCCTCATGACGGTTAGTGTATTAACTGCTGGCAGGCCTCCAGGAGTAAATAAGGGTTGAACAGAGCTGGAGACTATGCCAAGACCTTACGCAGAATCTTTGCCCTTGGTCAAGGACAGAAAGGTCTCTGCCAGACAAGTTAAATCAAGGAGACTCAATAGAAGGAGGGCCTGCTGGTACCTGAATAACAAGCCCTCAAGAGGCACAAACACGAGACCGAAGCTCTCCTTTGACATATGGAGTTCCCAAATAGCTACCTTCTACATATCTATCATATTGAAGACATGAAATTAGAATGTATATTTGAAGTCTTATCTACATCATTAACATACTTTGCAGGTACAAACACCCCTTACTGAACAAAATCTTCCCCTGTGGTCTTAGGAGCCCTCATTTGGACAAATCTGCCTAGTTAGATGATCCTAACCAGGAAACTTCCAGTTGTATTGTTCAGGATTTCTATAAGCTGCCAGAGGCATTACTTCAAAAAACTCAGGACATTCAAAGGACATCATCTGAGGCCCCTGAGTTCATTTCTAAACTTGCCTTGGCTAGTATGATCTCTACCTTGTCCATCCCTTATCTCCTGTTCTCTCATTTTTTCTTGACTTTCTAGTCTAGCTATCTCAGCAGGGCTCCTTCCACTTACTCAAGCCTGTATTTGTTGTTAACTGAGCAGTTCACAACCTACACTTGCTCTCAAGCATCTCTCTTAAGTCTTCAGACTCAGGAGTAAGGTGGAGAGAAAGAGCTGGGATGCATTTTCTTCCTTATGTGGTGGCAAACTAGATCCCTTAAAATCCAGTGACTGTCAGTCCCAACTGGGTTACTTCTCTGAACCTTAAAAGTTTCCCCCTGATCTGAAAGCTCTTCCTCTTCTCCCCTCATACTGGCATATGTCAGCAGGATCTTTCCTCCACTAAGCTGGACCACTGTCCTTGCACCCAGGGTGACCTACAGCAGAGATTTTTTGGGGCAGGGTGAGCAGTGGTGAAGACCGACCACTGATCAACAGATTTGCCAAGCTGAACACGTGTCCAGAGTCCAGACTCTCACCTGAATGAGGAGATCGATAGCGAAAGTCCTCTTTGGTCAGCAGCAGGAGAGCTTTGCCATTCATTTCAAACGTGTTGCTGTCAATTGGTCTTAAAGAAAACTCATTTTCAGCCCACTTGAGCCACTGGGCTACGTCATCCCTGCTCCAGTAAACTGGCTGCAAGCCTGTGGGAGAGAGAGCAAGGCAGAAAGAAAGAGACAGGAAAAAAAAGGGTCTTGTCAGTTAGACAGCTGGACTAAAGGGGAGAGATTTCTGAATGGTTAACAACATTAGGTCCCCATGTCTGAAGAGCCCTCATGTTCAACTCTGAATCCCAGGTTAAAACCCAAGCTTCGTAAGTGCCAAAGTGTGATATCAAATGAACTTTATATGTAGAGGCAAATTGAACAAAACATCCTTTTTTTTTTTTATCTTTAAGGGACCGTTGGTCTTAGAGCCCCACCCTTCCTTGCCCTACTCCAGGGCCTGTCTGGATTCCAGGATTGCCAGGAAGGTGCAGCTCTATGGTGGCCTGAGGTACTCATGGGGGCTCAGAGTCACGGCCCATGCCAACACACTTCGAAGGGGACCTTAAAATCAGAGCTGATCTGATTGCGACCCTGCGTCCTTTTGAAGTGGGAATGTTCCAAAGCTGAGCTTGACTTCCCAGAGCTGCCAAATAATGAAGTGTTCCTTAAAATTTCTTCCTGGAAGAGTATTTGCTCAGCCTCTGGGAAACCATCAGGCCAGCCTCTGGGGATGAGAGGGCAAGGTAAGGAGAAAAGGTCTTTTGCCTTTTTAGTCTACTTGCTGTGCTTAGAACTTCCTGGGGTGGGGGGTGGAGAGGGAGAGCTACTTGGACTTGGAGTAGGACCAGAAGTGGGTCAAAGGGAGGGCTGCAACTCAGAGCCTATCTCTGTCAGGAAGCCTGACTGGGAATCTACCTTTTAATTTTATTTTGCTGTTGTGAGAAATCTTCGGCATCACTTAAGTGGTTCAGAATAGTGGTTCTCAAAGCATGATCTGGGGACCCCTCAGGGTTCCCAAAATCTTTTCAGGGGTCTATGAAGTAAAAACTCATTTCATAACAATATTAAGAGGTTATTTGTCTTTTTCACTCTCATTCTTTCATGAATGTACAGTGGAATTTTCTAGAGGCTACACAAGTTGTGGAATTGCAACAGAGATGAGAATCCAGCCATCTCCAATGAGGATGGACATTAAAGAGACTTGCAAAAATGTGAAACAATGCCACTCTTCTCACTAGTTTATTTTGTTTTGGAAAATATATTTATAAATATTTATGTTAATATATACTTAGCTTATTATTTTTCAGTAAGTTTACAAATATTTTTAAAATTCTCAGTTTTAATTTCCAATCTGGTATCTATAGATAGCTAAAACCCATATGAGCAAAGCTTTTGAGGTCTTCAATAATTTTTAAGATTTGAAAGGGGTCCTGAGACCAAGATCGTTGAGAACAGATGGGTTAGAAACAGCTCGATGCTCAACAGAGCTTCATTCTCTAAAACTGTACTGTGTAGATAGTTCTATCCAATGGAATCAGCGTTTGCTAAGAAGAGCCTCAGTCTATCTACGCCGTTACCTAAACTTGCTAAGGAGACTCCATGAGTGTGCTACAAGAGCGTCCTTCAGTTTGATCCTGAAAGAATCACCTTTCAACCTTAAATAAGGCACGACAAAGACCTGTCTGGTCTACTTGATGGGCTGCTCAGCATCCCCGGGGAACAAACAGCTCGAATCCCAGGGCCTGTAGGCATGACTTTGGCTCTGTCTTCCAGGCAGCTCCTTTGCAAAGTCTAGTTCTGAAGAATGGTAGCTTACTTGAACTTTGTGGAAGTACCTTCAACACTGGTCCACTGTGTAGGGCATCAATAAAAAACTACAAGCATTGGAATAATAGAGATGAGCACCTAGATGGGGTTGTTGTTTTGTTTTTAAGTTTTATAATTTTTTTACATAGAGAGAAACAAGTGGCATTATAAAATAATAATGTGTAGCATGTTACTGCTCTATGATCTTTAGAATAAACTGGCCACTAAAGAATTCAAGGTTCTGTTTTAAGACTCTTAACTGGGCCAAAACGCAATGCCTATTAAAAATGGTCATTGGATACAGGGGGTGGCCCAACCGGTTCCAATGACCTTGAAAAGACGAATCTGGAATCATGGTGAGGTGGAAGTGTGAGGATGGCTCAGCAAAATTTCAACTGTTGAAGTGGTACAAAACCTTAAAGTTTACTTCCTATTATTTTCCATGGTGTCAGTCATCTTCGAACAAGAACAGCATAACGGTTTGTCATTAGGGACTTTTCCCTTCCTCTCCTTCACACAAGGCTAGCCGTGAGGGGACAATTGTCAAGCGTGGCCTAAGAAAGCGCCTGGGGTGAGAGAGCCACAGAGCCAGGAAAAAGGACAGGGGAGCTTATTAGAAGCGCAAGTGCCAAAGCAAATACAGAACTGAATCCCACTCGGGAGGGGAAATGAGAGTAAAATGCTGAAGTTTCTACAGAGGATACACGGAAACGCAGGAGGGTGGGTGAGAAGGGGGTGGGGGGTGCAAGTAGTAATTTGAGGTTCTTTATATTCTATGGAAGAAAATAGTCATGAGTAATCTTTTCCCTAAATACAAGAAGAGGCACACACTCCAAACAGCCCTGCTGGTTAAGAACAACAGTTTCTCTTTTCACTTCCCATTAGTTTCTCCCACAGCCCAGCGCTGCCGCAAGCAGAGCCACGAGGCGGAAACCCCCTCACCAGGGACCTAAGTGAACGCTCTGAGCTTGTGAGCAACAGGAACCCAGTGAGTTACAGTGGGTCCAGGGAATGCAATGGAATCCGAGCAGGTTTCCAAAGGTCACCCGGACAGAGCAGGCTACCTGCTTGAGGCCACTCAATAGATTTATCAGAGTCACTACTCTTCCTTCCATCAGCATAAAGAGATGGCAGACACATTCAGTGAGCTGGAAAGAGGCTTGATAGACTTGGGTGTTCAAAGTCAAGCTTCACTGCTATTGCCTTTTTGGTTCAATAGAATAAAAAGGTTGTGATCTCAGGATGTGCTTTGCGATTTTAACTGAGGACAAACAACCCCCATTTACTCAAACCGAGGGCCCCAAGGCCTGGGTGTTACAGCGTCTAATGGAATACAGCCCTGGACCCAGAGGAAACTCTGGTCTAATCAGGGTCATCTCACTGAATTTATCTAGCACTTCTAATACTATTTTAAGGAGTTTATAAATATTAGTTCATTTAATTGCATGCTCACAGCAACCCTATGAGACACTGTTTCAGATTAGGGAACGGAGGCCCAGTGCCTTTAAGGCATTTGCCCACGGTCATATGGCCATTGTAACAGGAGGAGTTGAGGTTCAAACCCAGGCAGTCTGGTTTCAGTCTGTGCTCATATTCATTATGCTGACCCATGCATTTCCCATCCAGATTTAGATGGATTTTCAAGGCTATTAGGAATTCAGACAAGACTGAGTGAATTGAATCCTCCCCACCCAAGACTTTGATCTTTGGAGTCTTTCTCAAGTTATCAATGGACTAAAACAAGAGCAAAAATATCTGTAGATCCCTGAAGAAATCCTAAGAAAAGGGTAATATGCAAATTAACTGCCACTCTGTCACAAAGATGGAGACCCCCATAGCTACAAGATGGCGGTGCCCAGGCCTCTCAGCCTCACTGGAGTCCCCCAGTCCCGGGGGGTGAGGGGTGATGGTGGTGGGGTTGGGTGGCCGCTGAGAGCATGCAGCGTGAGCGGCCTGGCAGAACGCTTGCTTCGTCACCGCGGCAACAAGGCAAACATTCCACCCTGGCCGCAGAGGGCCTCTGGGCAGTGGGCATGGAGCAGCCTGGGGGTCGGGGGCGGGGGAAATGCTTGTGTTGTCGCCCCAGCGAAGAGGCAAGCATTCCATGCCCAGCAGGGGATGGGCCTCTGGGCAGCAAAGAGCCTCTGGGCAGAGGGTACGGAGCGGCCAGGCCCCGCAGAGAGCTACTGGAGCACGTATTCGTGCGCAGGGCTACTAGTAGATTTATAGGAAGAAGGAAAAGGAAGAAGGAGGAGGTGGAACCCCACGTTGAACACAGCCAGGAACACAGTGCTGCCTTCCCCGGCTGCTTGCTCACAGGCACTCACTGCTCACAGGCACCAGTCCTGAGTCTTCACATGGCTCACAGAAGCCACATGGGCAAGATGAGGGAGGCATACCTAACACAGAACTTGTCTGACAGTTATCTCTTGCAACTTTAACTCAAAAAAGTTGAAAAACATAGTTTTTAATGATCATTGGTCAAAAGAAAAAGAGAAAGAGCATCTGTAGACCCCTGAAGAAGTAGATTTATAAGTGGGAAAAGGAAGAAGGTGGAGGTGGAATGCTGCTTCTATATTATGCTATTCCCTGTGCATATATAACAAGCTTGCGAGAGCCATATTAAGACTTGGATTTTTAATGCCAAATCATTGCAGAGTATACTTGAGATGAATTTTGTACAGAAGACATGAACTACTACAATTAGGAAAATTACAAAGAATTCCACTGTAATTTTTCTCCCAAATGGGTCAAGTTAAGTTCACGGTGCCATACCCATCAGTAACATACCCAGGCCCTTAAAACTTCCTGATAATATTTCTTTGATTCCATGTTCAAAGGTGCAGCTATGTCCATCCCCACACTCTTAGCATCATTTCAGATTTTCTGAGTTTAAACATAACTAACCATAAAAAGTGTGCTGGGAGTCAGGAGCCTGGATTTTACTAACAGATTTGCCATTAATTAAGATGTGACTCTGGGCAGGCCACAGATTTCATCTGTAAAACGTGGGGCTTAGAGTATGTGATCTCTATTCCCTTCTGGAATACAGTCAAGATGCTCCCATTTAATTTGAAACTTAAAATCCAAAAACTACAAGCAGCCCAGACCTTTTTCTTCCAGAATATGACCCTGAGATTCTGTAACTTCCTCAAGGATCTCCTGAATCACGGAAAACAGATTAAGTTACTTTAAATGAGGTTAGTGCTTGAGAGTGCTTTATTGTATTCTAATTCTTGGAAAAGTTATAACCCAGGCAACGGCAATAATAAACATAACATTTTGACAAGGTGCTCTAACATGTATGACCTCATTTGGAATTCTCACAAACGCCCTGTGAAATCTGCTGC